AAAAATAATCAAATCTGTCTGGATGATCAGGATATGACTGAACCTCCTCCACATGTGTCATCTTCCTGTTGTTGTCAGACAGTTTAATGTGTCTGTTTACTGTGTTTGTGTCGATTGTGAGTTGACAGGAATCTGATGAGAGAACAAACACAATCCAGCTGCAGTTATTGATCCAGCATCTGTTCATTGATTAATACTTTGATGATAACTCCTGACATCAGAGATGTGAATGAGTGATGTGAAAGTTTGATGATGGTTGAATGAGTGCTGATTTGTTTTCATGCATCACATTAAAAACACACTTACACTTCCTCAGACCTGGTGTCAGCCATCGGACTCCAGCAGGCTCCACCCTGAAAGGAGGAGGAGGGTCAGACCAGCACAGTCAGCATGCACACATGGACATTACATGGCTCTCACACACATACTGTTAGACAGTGATGAAGGAACAGTCCATTATTTTCAAAAATACACTTCTTATGTGGATCAAAGTGACTGATCCTGGATCTGTCAGTACACCACTGTATTGCAAGAAATGTGACTGATTCAAACTGTGACCTTCATATATTTTAGCTGGAAAGGACACCTCCCTTGCCTTTGCTGCCAGCTGTTTCTCTCCACTTGGTGTCAGTCTGCCCTCTGAGTGATTGTTTTCATTTGTTTTAATGCCACCTGAAAACTTTTCATGTTCTGATTCCACATTTCTACGCATGCACACAGAAAAATGTCTGCCTGTGTCACACAAACATTGAACCATGTATTTGTTTTTGAATAGTTCATGTCCTGCCATATTCAATTGTAGAAGAGCAGCAGAATATTCAGTACCTCACCCTCAAAACGCTTCATCGTGATGTAGCATCATGATCCCTCCCACAGGAAATCATTGTCATGGATTTAGGAGCTGCTTTGAACGATCTTCTTCTTCTCCAGGATATTTCAGATTTAACATTTCAATGTGACGATCTTTGTTATATTGTGCTTCCTTTAAGATCTCTGAATACTGTCTCTGTCCTTTACTACGGTGTTACATTCTTGATCCCACCATGCTTCACTTTTTCACTTCCTCCCTGCCTCTATAGCTTTCACTGGGCTCTTCTCCAAATTAGCTTTTCTACTGGGTTGTTTTCATGAGGATGTACACATCCTGGACAAGCAGGAACGCTGGTTTGAGCACAGAGTCAAGGAGGCCATTTACGTGAAAAGGGAAGGACCATCTCTGAATCAAGTGGGGGGCCTATTCTGTCACCATCTTACAATGCTGTGATTGCAGCCATTGCCCAACTCTCTGTGAATGGTACTCATGGCCATTTATCAGTGGAATCATATTTTGGGGATTACTTATAAATAAACATGCCCCTATCCACAAATTTAGAGTGAAATGCAGAAACAACCCTTGGTTTTCTCTTCAGCTCTCTAGTCTACTCAAAAAAAGGGATGCTGCCTGGGCTAAGGCCAGAAAAACTAAATCCGAAGCGGATTGGCTGATTTTTAGACAGCTTAGAAACCGTTCAACTTCCTTAATTAAAAAGGCCAAATCAGAATTCTATCTTTCAAATACTACTAAACATTTGAACGATCCTAAAAAATTCTGGAAAATAATAAAATCTTCTTATGGGGACATAATTACAAATGAGATGCCAACTTTTGTTGTAAAAGACTCCTGTACTTT